TAGTTTCCTTTTCAACTACCCTCAGGAAGTGGGTTCGCAGATGAAGGAACTGAGGATCCTATTTAGCAGGTGACCTATCATACAACTGGCTTGTGGAAGTAATGATGCAAAAAAGGAAGAATCGCCACAGATTTCTCCCTCCAATCCTACACTCCACTGCCCAAAATTGCCTTCCTCTAGTTTTCTTTCTAATGAATCTACTCTAGCTCTCTCTTAGACCCCACTTAGAATCTGATGATCCCTATGAATATCTCCCCATGGAGGAAAAAAAAAAGATAACTTGAACACAAACACAATAGCACCGATTGCCATATAATTTCAGGATATTCACATTCCAAACATGGACCTTGAGTCAAGACATGTTATTCAATTCCAATATCTTGTGAAATTGTCCCTACAGACAGTGAGTAGAAGTGACCCTGATTCTGGAGGGAGAAAGATACAGCTATGTGTGCATGTGAGGACCTTCCTACTGATTAAACTATATACACCTCATCATTTACAGGGTGCTTCCCAAGTCTGGAGGGCAGGACATTTTCTTTCCTCCTGGGGCATGAGTGTTAGCATTTGGTCACTCTTATAATTAATTGCAATGGATACTACAAAGGACCTCTCTTTAGGTGGTAGGCATACAATCTTTGGTAAACAGAGCCATTGTAGCTTGATTTGACAGTGTCTCACATACTGCCATTTTTTCTCCCTTGGGATACCATTAAAGTGTCTTACTAGGAAGTCTCTGTCCTCACAAATAAGATGGCATTCATTTGGTGTAAGCTATTTAGGAGCTTCTTAGTATATTTTATGTATGTATGGAGTTGACACTGCACCTCAAACCATAAATAGAAGCAGAAGTACATGTCACCAAACCAGGCCACAGAGGCCCAAGTTTTACTTGGAGAGTGTTTATACAAATGGTCTATCTTACAAGCTGCCTTCTCTAGTTTCCTAGTCTACCATATGTTATAAACTAATTGAAGGGTAGAGAGAGGCTACAGCAAGCAGGACAAAACCATTGTTAAATCAAGAAAAAATGCATATACATTTATACCTCACTCAGGAATGGATAGCTATAAGCTAGAACAGGTAAAACATTATTACTAGCATCTTAATGGTGATTATAAAGGTGTTTCACATTTTTATGCTTAAAAATATGTATGTAAAAATGATGGGAGTGGGACTCCTGTCTGGTCTTATGTGTGCTATATTTTAGGAGAATTTGTAGCATTTATCTATTAAGAGTGGATTACATGGGACAGTTGTGTAACAGTGGGGCAGGCTGGAAGACAGTGGAAATGATGCGGCCAAACATGGTAGAATGGGGGTTGATGTCAGGACATGTACTTGAGGTGAAGTTGACAAAATTTGCTGATGAATTTAAAGAGAGAAGGGAAAGACTCTTCTTTGGGACCCCTCTTTAAATGCAGAGTCTCACGACTTTCATGATGTGCCTTTCACTCTCAAATGAACTTGCTGTGTTTTTTTATTCAAGAAATTACTAAAAAAAAAAAAGAGCAAGAAACTCTATAAAGGAAATAAAAGAAACTCTTGTGTTTTCAATCTAAGAAGGCAGACAGATGGATGAACTATTATCAGGAATGGGAAAATGGAGGAGGTCAGGTGATATCAAGAAAACGGCTCTGGTGATTGTTTTCTTTGTTGTACAGAAGCTTTTTAATTTCATGTGATTTCCTGAGTAACTGGAATCTGACTCAGGAAGAGTCAGATTCCAATCCTGCATCAGGAAGTGTTTGGCTTATGTTTTCATGTAATACTTTCAGGCCTTACATTAAGATCATTGATACATTTTCAGCTGAGAGTGTTAGTGCTCACCTGCAATCTCAATCATGGGAGATTGAGGTCAAAGCCTGTTCCTGTGCAAAAAATTAGCACATGCAAGAAATGACTGAAGCAGAAAGGTCTCCAACAAACCAGAGGCCCTGAATTCAAGCTGAAGGACCCAACTACAAACATTCTTTGTTCCATTTTGAATAGCTATTTTTGTAAGTGATGGAGACAGAGATCTAGTTTCAGACTTCTACTTGTGCTTTTCTCAACACCATTTGTCTTTTTCCCTAATATATGTCAAAATAGATTGCTTTCTCAGAAATCCTTTGGCAAAACAGATTCCTATATATGAAAATGGAACCACGTAACTTGAAGGGAGACGTGGTGGTTTAAGATAGATGGGGGAGGGTTATGGAAGAAGCAATATTGATGCACTGTGCTTATATTTGATATGTTGAATTGAAATCCCTTTGTACAACTACTTAAAGATAAGAAACCATAAATGTAAAGTATCAGAAGGCTTTAGCTCTGTGGGCATATGTCCAGATCTTCTGTTCCATTGGTCTTCATGTCCATTTTTGACAGTATGATGCTGCTTTGTTATTATTTTGGTTTTGCCCTCACTGGGTTTGAGCTCAGGGGTCTTGCACATGGCTTGCTTACTCAGGGTGGCTCCTACTACTTGAGCCACAATACTTAATTGCAAATGGAGTCTTGTAGACTTTTCTGCTGGAGTGGCTTTGAACAGAGATCTTCTAGGTCTCAGCCTCCTGAGTAGCCAGGATTACAGGCGTGATTCACCAATGCCAAACTAAAGGTTATGACTCTGGATCTATACCATAGGAAGTCAGGTATTATGATTCCTCTAGCACTGTTGTTTTTTGCTTGGAATTGTTTTGAGAATTTGGAGTCTTTTGTGCTTCCATATGAATTTTAGAATTGATTTTTCTATTTCTGTGAAATAATGATATTGGGGTTTTTGATGAAGATTTGTTTGTCTGTAGAATGTTTTCAATAATATAGCGATGTTCATGATTGATTCTGCTGATCTATTAATGAGAAGTTTTTCCATCTTCTAATGTATTTTGTTTTCTTCTAGTTATATAATTTTCCCTGTACAGGTATTTTACTTTTCAACATTAGGTTTACTTCTGGGATTGATATTCTGATTTCTTCCTTAGCCTGTTCATTATTGGTATATAGGAAAACTACTGATTTTATATGTTGATTCTCTATTCTACTATTTTGCCAAAAGTGTTTATCAGATGTATGAGTTTTCAGTGACTTCTTTAGTGCATTTGATCTTAAGGTCTTTTAAAAGATCATACTTTCTGTTAAAAAAGATAGTTGACTTCTCGTTTCCTTCTTGCATTATTGCTTTGTCCAAAAAAATCAAGCACCCAGGCCAGTACTGGCACCAAAAACAACAAGCAAACAAACAAAAAAAAAAAGAATTGAAACATTATATTCAAAAGCAGGGGAGGGGAGACAAGAAAGATCAATAGAGAAGGTGATTCGACCAAAATGCACTATGCCACAATGGAAATGTCATGATAAAACTGCTTTGTACAATTAATGTACACTAATAAGAAACTGAAAGAAGTGGAGCTGTGCCTAACAGTAGTAGAAGGCTCGCCTTGAGCGAAAAAAGCTCAGGAACAGTGCCCAGGCCCTACGTTTAAGCCCTATGACTGACAAAAAAAAAAGAAGACAAAAAATGAAACTGAAGGCTAAAAAATAAAATGAGAAAAGGAAAGGCTACCCCAGGTATCATGATGTGCAGCCAGGTTTGGGACACTGTTGTTGATGCTCAGGGAGAGAATGTCCAGATTGTTATTTACCAGCTATGTGACATTGGGTCAGACAGGAACTTTTCTATGCTTCCCACGTTCAGATGGAAAGAGTGAGAGCACCTAACTCATATGACTATTGTGAGGATTAAGTGACTTAACAGAAGCTCATTTAGTAAATGGTTACCATCAATACATTAATACAACACTTGGAGGCTTAAAAACATGGCAGTGGACCAGATGTATACTGTGTATGTGTACTATGATAATTTTAACTTCTAAATTAGTCATAGCAAGAAATGAACAACTGTAACTTATAAGGAACTAGGACAATGGAAATGATTTTTTTAATGTTCTGAGTTCTGCTGCTCAGTCTATTACACAAATGAGAATTAAGAGAGTAGATGAGTGGATAATAACGTTTGAACTCTTTGGAGATTCATCAATGGTTACATACATCTGAAATATTATGTCAAAAATTGAGCTGAAAGTAGGCTTAGTCACTTAGGGAGTTCCTGAGGATTAAAAAAAAAATCAAGAACTCTGACAACTGAGTAAAATGTCTCACACTGTAATCCCAGTACTCAGGAGGCAGATTGGGAAGATAAAGTTTAAGGCTAGCCCCAGAGGAAAATGTTAGTGAAATCCCCACATCAATAAACTAGGAATGTTGGTACCAGCCATCCCAGCTATGAGAGGGAGGTAGAGATAGGAGGATCATGGTCCTAGGCCTACTGAGTGAAAAAACCAAGACCCAACTAAAAAGGCCAAAAGTTTTGGAAGTATTGCTTCATTGATACTATGCCTGCCTAGCAAGAGGAAGGCCAGTTCAAATACCAATACCACAAAGTAAGATGGTGAGGGGACTCCTGATGACCGTTCCCAGGCCATTGCACAACCACAGAGAGATGATTAGACAGCCAAGAGACTGAGAAGGAATAGGTGTGGAATGAGACCCAGGCCATGGGGACAGATGCTCTGACTGCCTAAACAGACGTATTTGAAGAAGGAGTATAGAGGGTCAAGATAACACTTTCCTGCCACAGAGAATGAAGGTGAGGGGGGTCCGTTTGTGGGGGAATTCTGTTACAATAAGAGGAGGGGAGACTAAGTCTGGTAAGAAGAAAACCACCTGGCAAACCAATGCTCATTACAGTGGAGGATTGTTTAGAAATATATTGAACTTTATGCCAGCTAAATATTTCTTTATATATAACTCTCATTTTTGAAGTTGGTAGTAACAAGTTATGATAAACATTCTACAGGCAATAAACTCTCTTCCTAGAGGTTTAAAAAATGTCGATACTTAATGATAACAAGGGTGATAAAATTAACCCTGTGTTGTTTGTTTTCCTTTTTTGTGTTGCTGCTGCTGCTGTAGTTTTTGTTTAAGCCCCGGAAACATTTTCAAGAAGCGGATCAAACATGGCTTTAGCAAATAGGAGACTTGAGAACCTGCAGGTCTACAAAGTTCTTCAATGTGTTCGCAACAAAGACAAGAAGCAGATAGAGAAGCTGACCAAACTTGGATACCCTGAACTGATCAATTTCACAGAGCCTATTGATGGACTTAGTGCCCTGCACTTGGCCGCTGTTGCCAATGACATTGACATGGTCACCTTTCTACTTGGGCTTGGCGCTCACCCTGATGTACAAGACCAAATGGGCTGTACGCCGACGATGAGGGCTGCAGAACTGGGCCATGAGTTGTCAATGGAAATGTTAGCCAAGGCAAATGCTGATATGACTATAGTTGACAATGAAGGAAAAGGTAACAGCGCCAGCTTTCTATCTAGCAAAATGCAATTCACTTTGCAGCCAGGAACTAATAAAGCAGATACCTTGATTTTTTTTCAGTTTTAATACTGAATTACACACTGTTTTTATATGAAAGGCTAGATTCTCACTCTTGTGTGTAAGGGTGGTACTGCCTCCTCATAATTGAAGAACAATTTATGTATATCTTAGGGAAAACATTCTTGAGAGTTCGCTCATTGAAAAAGAAAATTAGAAGTGAGTTAATTTGTGTTTGGTGGTTTCTTTTATGTGGCAAGAATGATTAATATCTCCTACATACACTAACATTACCACAACCATCCATTTAAAATATAAAATCTTAGAACACTTAGAAAGTATGAGGTCCCAAACTCAAACCCGAAGACCATCAGAGATGGAGAAACAGATAGATGATAGATGATAGATGATAGATAGATAGATAGATAGATAGATAGATAGATAGATAGATAGATAGATAGATAGATAGATAGATGGATAGATAGATAGAGGTAGGTAGGTAGGTAGTAGATAGATAGATAGATAGATAGATAGATAGATAGATAGATAGATAGATAGATAGATAGATAGATAGATAGATAGATAGATAGATAGATAGATAGATAGATAGATAGATAGATAGAGATATATGATAGAGACAGACAGACAGACAGAAAATTTTATTTGAACAAAAGATTCCACACATTTAGAACCTTGCATAGTACTAGGTTTAGGACTTCAGATGGATTTTATGGAATCTCCCTAGCAGTCTTATATAGAAAAGACTCATATTTGGGAGCCTGTGGTTACTAGCATAAACTCCAACTTTTAGTATCAGTTTTTTCACATATCTGGAAACACAGTGTTTTGAGGATTATTTGGTTGAATAGCTGTACGTCCAAGTCCCATTTCAAGACCATGGTCTGGGTGGTTTTGTTAGGCCTAAGCAGAGTAAGAGTTAAGCCAGCCTCATGAAAATCACCAAGATAACACTAGTAGTGCTTAATATAAATTGGTAGATTTAATCAGTTGTCCCAGGGAATTGCTACAAGTACAAAGCCATTAACATCAACACTAGAGAAATGAATCCCCTTTTACTGCAATAATGTTTGCTGACAGGAGTGAAATCTACTTTCGTAACTGTCTCCAGAGTTGAGACTTGATAGATGACTTGCTTAAAACAAAAGGAGAGGACAAAGAAAAAGAAAATTTATTTAATAGAACCACATAACAAAATAAGCTTCAGATGCATTTAGAGGTCAAATGTACTTGGGTTTTAAAAAAGAAAACAAAGAAAAAGAACAGGCCCTTAAACCTTTGTAGAGTAGAATTTCTCAGTTTATTCCACAGACCATGAAATCACAGGGTTGTTAAGTGCTGTTAAGCACATGAAAAGTTAGTTCTATTATGGAATCTATTTAGCGATCCAACCAATTGTACAATCTTAAGCATATTTTCTTCACATTGTTGGACCAATGATGGTATTATTTCCCATATTTATTTGATCATAAAGTAGGACATTAAAAACACTCCAAGTTTCATAGCATGTTTTGAAAAATTGTGCAGTGTATCAAAGTTTACTTTGTTGAAGTTTGAAACAAACATTTAAGTCACACTCAAAACATATACATATAAAACAGACATGCTCATTGAGAACTTTTATAGCATACAAATCTAAAAAAATGTAAGTTAAAATAGGAAACAAAGTTAAGTACCTACTTGTAATAAATACAAGAGACATTTAGTTAATTTACTAAACCTATCTATGTGAAGGACAGATGACTGGCTTGAGAACATCGCCAGACATAAGCACATGGAAACAAACTGAAAATATAAATTGAGAAAGATGCACAATCTTATTTCACTTATTAGCTGACTCAGCAGAACTCCCAGTTTGCCTGTGTCATACTGTCTCTTTCCCCTTATCAATGACCCTCGCTCACCTTGCAAATCCTTAGCTGATTCTTGCCAAAATGTTCTGCTTATTCCATAGTAATCTCTCTGCTACCAAAATCTTATTTACTGGAGACTGATGTGGCTCATGAACATTTTTTCTAAAGGATAAAACTGGTATTTAAATGCCTACATGGATCTTGGAACGATGTGAGATAGGTTCTATCTCACTAGGTCAAGCTAGGTCAAGATTTTAACTATGAATTGCTTTTGTCATTATTACAAGCAAATCCATTTCATTAGCATATGGCAGTTCTTAATGTTTCTCTGGAACCAGTATCCTTTTCTCAATCTTTAGATTCGGGTTTTTCAATTGAAGCAAGTTTTATTTTATTATATGGTATAATTTTCTGTTATCTTTATTCTTTTCTACTGACAAGTTCCATCTCTCTTTTTTTCCCCTCTCTAGACCATTTGAACTCATCTCAGTTACATTTTTCTTAATGTCTTCCTTCAGGTCTCTGACCATGTTGTTCACAATGTTTGCTCTACTTCTTTTTTTCCTGATTCTTATTTGACTTCCATTCCAGAGTTGTTTTAATTTTTTTTCCTACCATTTCTTTCTTAAGTTCTGCTGGCTGATTTCATCTTTTCCTTCTATTCATCTTCTTTTGTGTTCAGTTCTTTTCTTTCATGGTCTTGGGCTATCCTTGTACTTTTCTATTTTAGTGTCTTTTTCACCCTTCACATGCTGATATGCTTGTCTTATTGTTTGAATGAAGCCTCTTTTTGGAGTGAGAATACTAAAAGGTTAGTTTAGAGTTCATTGTTTACTCAGGATTTTACTTACCAACACTGTGCCCTGGGGTTAAAACAATATCCCTGACATGCAGAAGAGTTTTGACATGAATATATTGAGGGTCTGTATGTTGTAGGTCTTAAGTATGAGAAATGTAATGTTTTCCTCTCTTCAATGTAACCAAATCATTTGTCAAAATAGTAGAGACATTTTCCATCTCTTTGTCTTTTCTTTACACCAAGATTCTGCTCCAGACAAATGAATTCAGAGGGAACCCAGGGTGCCACCAGGAACCCTTGGTAGCACCCACCCTGCAGATTCCAAGAAGGGACTGTAGGAGCATAGTCTGTAAAAATACTAGACCCCGTGGTTGACCAGAACTCCCCAGGCCACATCCTAACTTTGCTATGTCAACAGAGAAATTAAGTATAACTTTGTGCTGAGGAATCGAACCCAGGGCCTCATGCATGCAAGGCAAGCGCTCTACCACTGAGCCACCTTCCCAGTCCTAACATTATCTCTATCAAAGATTTCTCTTTTGCCTTTCTGTCTTGGTTGTTTCAGAGGGGAAACATGGCAGATGTGCCTTTCCCTGCCATCTCTGTAGATATAGATTTAAAAATTATATATTTCTTATATATATTACGTATGCTGTTGATGAAGTAGTTTAAGGGGCTTCTATTTTTCTGCAGGTGTTTTGTTTTACTGCATCTTACCCACTAAGCGGCATTATCGTTGCGCTCTGATTGCCTTGGAGCATGGTGCAGATGTCAACAATGTTACCTATGAAGGAAAACCAGTATTTCTTCGAGCTTGTGAAGAAGCACATGATGTTAAAGATATGTGCATGACATTTTTGGAGAAAGGAGCCAATCCAAATGCTTTCAACTCAGTATGACTATTCCTGTGATTATAAACATTTCTTTATTCTATTATGGTTCTATTGGTATAATCTTTTGCATTTAAATATAGCAAAGTTATCTTGTTAGTTTACAGACTATTCACTTCATGTTGATTCAAAATGCATGGAGATGATTGTATTCTCATTATCTTCCTAGCTTCATGACTTGGCAGTCAATTACCTAATCATGCATACTGTCAAAATGTCATTACAGGAAATAGTAGAAAATAATTACTAATGCCTAAGAATAGTTTACTCTTCTGGAAAGAAAATAGGTACTTCTGCTATCTCTCATGGATGTGTGGTTTCCTCTCAACTGGGTATTTGGTTGCGTTTTCTTACACTTTCACCTCCAGACATCCACAAAATAGATTTTATTTTCACTAGAAAATAAATGTGATCCAATTTTAGCATATATTTTCTTTTTTTCACTTTTGCTCATCCTTCTCTGCAAGAAGCATACTTTTTTAGTATGATATTCTCACAGGATCATGCAGAATGATGTTGACGGTGATTTTAAACTTCCACATTCTAGACATTGAGCATTATAGTATTTACTTCATGTTTCCTCTTTCTTTTTTGACACTAAAAACCCCTTGGAATAGGGTAAAAAATATAAATGGAAAAAATATATATATATATATAAATGGAGATCAGAAATGGAGAACAACTTCTACCTGGGGTGAGGGTAATAGTTGGAGGAGAGAGTGTGAAGATGGAGGAGAGTGAGGGTGGTCCAAATACTTGATGTACACGTGTGAAAAACGGAACAAGGAAGTTTATTAAGTGTTGTTTGGAAAGGGAATAATGGAGAAGAAGGAGGGTGATAAAAGGGATGAGACTTCACCAGGAATAATATATGCATATATGGACATGTTGAAATGAAACCCTTGTGCAGCTCATTGACGCTAATAAGAACATAGAGAACTAAACTTGTAAATGAATTTGTGCCAAATCTGCAGTGCAGGTGCTTTTTGATGATGGCATGTATAACAGCACTGGTGTGTTCCATGCCCAGTCCACAGGTCGTACAGCTTTGATGGAGGCATCGAGAGAAGGGGTGCTGGAACTAGTCCGAGAAATCCTGGAACGAGGAGGCAAAGTGAATGCCTTCGACAATGAGAGACTCCACGCTGCCCATTTTGCTGCCAAAGGAGGCTATTTTGATGTAATAATCTGCTCTTCTGCTTTAAAAATGTGTTGCCAAAACTTTTTTTTCTCAAAAAGTTTATGTATTATGCAGTTGAATGTTCCTCTAAGTTTCCTTAATCCTTCCCATTTTAATATCCTCAAGTAATTCTTAAAATTTAACTTCAACCATATAAATCCCACCTTTAATTCAGTTGTATCTATTTGTGAATATATTCACTCTGAGGTTACTAATAATATTATTCTGTGTAGTTTTGACCAGGACAAATCAAAATTCCTGTCACCTGTTACTTAATTTTATTCCTCCATTACGTATTGGAATCTTAAATGTGGCATGATGGAACTGTGGAGAGGTTGACATCAGACCACATGCATCTCTCCTGGTGCTTTTGTGCATTTAATAATACACTGAATTCTAAATTCTAGCAATTCTGGCATCTTAGCAAAAGATATCTCATTGATTCAGTGCTATTGTAAATCAAAATAAGAAAATGTTATCCTGAATTTTTTAAATTTCTGCATTTCATCTAAAATGCCTTTAAATTTCCTCGAGTTTTAACTTATTGACCTTTATTTTCTCTAAGTCTCTTCCCTGTTGCGATAGGTACTGTGATGGGTAAAGAATTTATTCCCCTGACATTCTTTGCTATATTGTGAAGCTTCTTAAAGTACCTACATGTACCAAAATGATAGTGTTCCAGCTGATTGTAGGATTTTCAGCACTCCGGATCAATAATGGCTGATAGAACTTTGAAGATGGAAACATCCAATGCCTGAGTTATAGTATACACTACGGTTTTGAGTACTGAAAATATGGCTAGGAAACCTAAGGAACTAAACTTTTACTTTTTAAATTTTTATGTCAATTTGAAGTAGCTGGATTTTGCAGAGATTAAATATTCTATTACTAAAAGTACATTACTATTATTCTACAAAATTCACTGTTTATGTTGCAGATTTTGAAGCTTCTTTTTGCCTACAATGGAGACATGGGGATAATTGCAATGAATGGGAACACACCACTTCATTATGCTGCCATGGGTGGTTTTGCGGATTGCTGTAAATACATAGCTCAACGAGGTAAAAATGTCAGCAATTTTGAGCTTAAGGTGTTTATGGTTTACCCATGTCACAGATGAGTGAGGAATTTTAGCCAGACTCTTTAGCCAGTCTCATACCTTTTTCTATAGCCAAACTTCACTCATACATAGAAAGAAAACTGTATGTGTATCTTATGTCCTTTCCCACTGAATCATGAATCTAATGATATAAATGAAGAATATCCATCTCATTCAATCCTTTAGGTTACTTTTAATTTTCTAAGCTCATGACTTAGGAAATTTGATTTGATTCACTTACTTAAAAAGTAAGTCTAACAAAAGGCATGTATTGAAAATCATTTCCTTTGTTCTGAATTTTTAATTATTTTATTTAAAGGCATTGTTAATGCCAAATGCAAAAATATTTTTTTTCTAGAGATCTTGCAGTTATAGCAGAAAATAGCTTGGGGAAAACATAAAATAAAATGAAAAATTTTACAGAAAATTAATAATGCAAGCAGTATTTGTTATTTCAGCTTTTCTTGTAGCTCTGAAGTAGCTATTAGCTTGGAGATATGAACTCTATTATGTACGGTATAGCTTAATGAGTTTCTTAAAATGAAAATATTAGGAGCTAAGCTTAGAAATATGAATCTATTTGTTGCTAGTTAGCTATTTAATGAACCTCAAGGTTACCTCTTTATTAGAGATGGCATTGCATTCTGTTGAATTTTGTCTGCTTTATTCCAGTTCATGGGAAATAGGTAGAAAAATAAAAAGCCCCAAAACTCCTGAATAGAGCAGAGTGTTCTGTTTTGCTATCCTCCACACAGGCAGAGAATCTGAGAAGTCACTGACACTTATCCTATACTATAAACATTAACATGAATAGCACTAACAGGCCCATATACCTAATAGTATAATAACTGACCCATTTTTCTTTCCTAAATATATTTCCCCCCCAAAATATACTATTTAACAAATAAAGAAAAAATACATAAAGTATAATTTTGCCCCCTCCAGTTGTCTCATTGGTCTTGTTTTCAAATAAAATACCAAGAGCAGTTTATCCTGACATTTAACTTTTCACATAGTCTGTTTCTAAAAATTAATACCCTTCCCACATTTAATCAACTTTTTTCAACATTACTGTATTGAATTATTTACTGGGAAAAATACCACCATATATGCATCCTATTATTTATGTATCTCACAGATCAAGTAACAGAAAGCATGTTGAAAAGCAAAGGGCCTGAGCATGGATTATACACAAAGGCCTTGCTCAGTGATGCAGAAAGTATCCATCTTCCTGGAAAAAAATCACAAAATTATTTCTAAATTAAGGTCTGAAAATACTCTGAGCTCTAAAGTGTATTTAGATGTACAAACACATCGCCAGATCCAGCATAAATTCCAGAACAGCAATGTTGTCTGCTACATTTTCAGCTTGAGAGTCTCAAATCCAAAAGACAGAGGTCCCAGAAATCTTTACCAATGCAATGCTTATCTCTGAATAAGCTCCCAGGGTTTATTTTAGCTTCTTCTGTACTCAAATGTAAAGCATTTTGACTCGTTGGAATTTTTTGTTCCCACATTAAGATACCTTTCTGTATTAGGTTCCTCTGTGGGTCCCCATTCCTGCTGCTAGAGCAATTTTACCTTTGTCCTTTGGTTATCTGTAGGGGATTGTCTTCAGGATCCAAAATCCTCCTAATTCCTTCAGTATGTGCATTTAACCTGCCCACTTGTATACTTTAAAATCATCTCTAGATTACTTATCATGCCTACATACATAATAACAAATAAAGGATTAAACTATAGTGCTTGGAGAATAATGACAAGGAAGAAAGTATACAGTTCAGAACAGCTGCAAGTTGTGTTCAGCTACTTTCTATTGTTAGTTGAATCCCTGGGTGTGGAGAGCTGACTGTAATCACAAGGGAAGAGACCCTAAGTCTGAAGTCAAAAGGAAAGAAGATACCTTAGGCTCTTGCAGATCATCAGATCATCGGCTGAAATGTTGAAGTTGTTTATCCATGGAAAAGTTTCTAAGTAGAAGGAAATTAGAAGAAGGGGCAAGCTAAAGCAAGTTCAAATCCTTTTACCTTTATTGTTGGACTGAACATAGAAAGGGTGGATTGCGAAATAGTAGATTAAAAAAAACTCCAGATACTTTAAATATGTCTAACTTATACACAAATTAAAAATCTGGACTCCTCAGATTTCATTAACTCAGATTTCTACTGCTAAGATTGTTCATATGATCTTATCACAAAACAATTAATTAGTACAAATTATTTTAATCTAATGGAGAGACATAAAATATTGCTTATAATTGTATATAGATTTAAAGTCTGCATCATTCAATAAGAAACAATCCTTTAAATATTCTGAACTAATTTGAACCTATATTATTTTTTTCCAAATTCCAGTATGCCCTTTTATTTCTGTTAGGTCTCCTTAGCAATTATCCAATATGTTATTTGAAATGCAGTAGTCCTTTGGTGCCCACGGGTATATGGTCAAGATCTTCTTTTAGTGTGCAAATTAAATGCACATACTGAAGGAATTGGGAGGATTTTGGATGTGTTCAGAATGCCTGCTTAATTCATTTTTCCCATAATGCCACTCAACTCCCACTAAACACAATGCCACCCTTCAATAATACTTTACTTTTGGGGTACTATTTTCTTTGTGGAGGTACATTTTCATAAAATTGAGAGCATATCATGCAACAATTTAAGCATAACTGACAGTAATAGAGGAGTAAGACCTTCCCTAAGCAATATAATACATGTGTGGCATTGATTTTGAAATTTCTTTCTGATTTTTAAACATATCTTATTTTTGACCACACTTGGTCAAAGCCACAAGTAATGAGTCCTGCAATATTTTCCTGTACATTGTTATCTGAAATACCTATCTATAGAGACAAGTGTAACAGATAGAAGTCAACCTAATCATTCTTAATTCAGATATAAGTCAACTTAACATTCTTAATTCACAGAGCTAAAATCTCAGGAGAAATAGTACAATCAAATTCCATAATTATAGTGGCCCAATGTGTTCTCTATGTGCATACAATTTGAAGACAAAGGGTTTTTTTCTGATATAATTTTTTAAACTATATTTTTTTAGTTGTCCTAAGGGGTTGAAGGCATGGCTCAGTGGTAGAGTGACTGCCACTTTGGGATTCTGATCATGAACAGTTTGCTACGCGTCATTTGTTAGGATTGCGAAGAGGTCTTGGCACTGTTCCTAATAGTAACGTTTCCTGTTTTAGGTTGTGACCTGAAATGGAAAAACTTAGAACACAAAACACCAAGAGCTGTGGCAAAAGATGGAGGCTTCAAGGCTGCAAGCAAAGAAATACGCCGAGCAGAGCGAATTGCTAATAAACTGGCTAAACAGGGAGACCAAAATCCCAACCCAGTGTGGGCCCTCAGACTGCACGACTGGTCGATAGAGCACGAGACTTTCCTTCGGGAAGCCTTTGCCATCGTGGACAAAGGCGATGGCACCATCAGCAAAGAAGACTTCGTGCAGACCCTGGAGGAAAGACAAAGCTTTGCGAACGCGGATCAGCTGGCTTTCGTAGCTCAACTGCATGAGAAAATCCGAGGAGGGGGAGTCAGCATTAACGATTTCTTTAAAGGAACCAAATACTTAGGCAAGGCTTACGTCTTGGGATCTTTTGGGCCAAAGAAAAAGAAGAAAGGGATGGGCAAAAAGGGCAAGAAAGGCAAGTTCGTGTTACCCCTCCCAATCTGCGTCATCCCCGAGCAAGCATTCCCAGGGCGGCCAGACGGTGGGCCACCCTATTACATGATCGAAGCCTACCAAAACCTGACGGACTGTGGCCGCTTTACCCGAGACGCCCCGCCAGAGCATCCCATCCAAGATGACTCCGTGTGGTACATTGATGATACCGGGAGGATATATTCAAACATTAATTTCATCACCAAGGCAGGAGATATGGCATCCCTGAAAAAGGCTTTTGAGTCCGGAATACCTGTGGATATGAAAGATAGGTACTACAAGACACCGCTCATGACGGCTTGTGCCAATGGAAACATAGATGTCGTGAAGTTTCTTCTTGAAAAAGGGTACGTGGTTTGGTGGTGCGAGGTTCACTTTTTTTCTTAAGTATTTATTTTTAATGCATTTTAATTTTGTTTTCTCGTAAAGGCGAAGTATCTAGGAGTTGCAGGTTTATAAGCCAAGTAAAGAGTACATTTCCTTTTGGACACTATCACTCCCTCTCTCTCTCCCAGTTTTTCCCTCTCCTCCACATCCACCTGCGGTTTAGTGCATGTTCGACACAGTGTCAAGTGAGTATGGCCGCTGCATTTGTTCACCCTTTTGCCCATGGGCTAAAGACTTAAAGAGAGACTTCTCAGAAGAAGTAAGAATGGCCAATAAACACATAAAGAAAGGTTCAGCATCTCTGGCCCTAAAAGAAATGCAAATCAAAACCACATGGAGATTCCACCTCACCCCAGTTAGAACGGCCATTATCAAAGAAAACAATAAATACTGGCATGGTGCTTTCCATTTTCATGCGTCTTTACACTTTGGGAAATAGAAGAGCAAAAGAAATAACAGCGCTAGAATCTGAGGAGCCCAGGAAAGGGCTTCATCGGTGAAGTCTACAATTAGGGTCCAGGTTAAGAAACATACAGGGCATGTGCACTAGGTAAGGGAGGGACACAAAGGTGAAGGTACACACTTTTTCACTCTGTTTGGGTGTCTTGTCTTCTGTGATGGATAGGACAACTCAGATTGACCTCAGAGGGTGTCCTGGATGGTGTGTGGTCACTTTTTAATCTGCCTCTTCTATTGTAAGGCTACCAACGTATCCTAACCATATCCTAACAAATAGCATGATGACCATAAGGTGACTAAGGACATATCTCAGTCACACTGACATTTGACAATGTCCCATTGTCCTTCTCCTGCTGTCTTTTATAAAAATTTTGCTTATAAAACTAAGAAATGTGCTCAGGTTTAATTCCTTCTGTTGGAGTTGTATAAACTGGGATACATTTCTGAGTATTTCCTCTCCTCAGCTTTCTGCTGGGTGTCACTGGCTTTCACAGGACATATCTCAGAATTTGCTGAAGATCAGAGGAACTAAAATATGTGAAACACATTTTTGCACAGTGATTGTGCACTTGGCAAGATATTTATTTTATGGTTGCTAAAGTACAATGTCAAAGATTCATCTTTGTATATTATGAAAGTATGAAGTAACAAAAGATAACTTGACTTTTTGGACCCAGAAATTCTGCTACAGTTTAAATAATAGAATGCTTAGATTTTTAAATAATAAAGGTTTACTTAAAATATTATAACACGGAATGGTGGACAAATACAGCCATATGATAATCAATTATGTATATGAAAAAGGAACTAGGAAAGTTGCTTAAGACTGGTAAGGGGCAGGCGTCGGTGTGAGTGGGGAGCTGAGCAGCTGGAAGGGAGAACTCTGATTGAGATGTATTGAATGCACAAACATACATGTTAGAATGAAAGCACCTTGTAGAGCTATTTGAAGATAATAACCAATAATAAAAATTAAATGGCAAGACATGCGAGAAAACAGATACACAATGAAAAAAACCTTTTCTTCTCTGTCAGCTCTCATCTTCATGAGATCCAGTTTTATCATTTTTTTTCTTGATTTTAACCTTGGCAAAAATCAGAATCTCTAGGGTCTTGGTGCCTTTTAAAGCTAAATAAAATGTATACTGTCAAATAATGCTGAACCGACAGAGTACAAGAAAAAATGTAGCTTAAAGTTTATTTTGAATGCTTTTAGTTTCTAATTTGACAAGTCAGTAAAATTCTATAAAGCTTTACTTTGCCTTTTTTTAGCCACCTGTGCTTGGAAGCATTGACATTTTTAGTTGTGTGTTTCTCTTATTTTCCAGGGCAAATGTTAATGCGACAGATAATCTCCTGTGGACTCCACTTCATTTTGCCTGCCATGCAGGCCAGCAAGACATTGTTGAACTGCTTGTTAAAAATGGAGCTGCAATAGATGCACCTTCCATCAACAATTCAACTCCTTTAAGTAGAGCCATTGAAAGCTGTAGACTAGATACTGTAAAATACCTACTCGATATGGGTGCTAAATTCCAGTTGGAAAATAGAAAAGGTATGTTTATATACTTGATGTTTCACAATAGAAAGAGAGAATTCATGTTAAATTCCCAACTCATTCAGTTCTGTTTATATAGAACCATATCATTGCTTACCAGTGGAAACACAATCCTTAGGTTCAATGTTACAGTTTATTACCAGTGCTTCCTCAGATTATCAGTATTAAAGGGCCAGTTGCTTTGCCATCTGCCATGGACTGATGCTTTTATAAAATGCATTTAAAATGAAGTATTGGTCTATGTTTAGTTTTTGAAGGAAACTCCAGACTGCTTTCCATAGTGGTTGTATTAGTTTACATTCCCACCAGCAGTGTGGCTCTTTCCCCCCACATCCCCACCAGCATTGTCTGTTGTTAGAATTCAAAATGTTGGCCAGTCTAACTGGAGTAAGATGGTATCTCATGTTTGTTTTAATTTGCATTTCCTTTATGGCCAGGGATGATGAGCATTTCTTCATTTGTTTCTTTGCTATTCTTTACCTCTTCTGAGAAGTCCCTTCTTACCTCCCTTGCCCATTTAGTAATTGGTGTATTAAATTTGGGAAGGGTTAGTTTTTTGAGCTCCTTGTATATATTGAGAATCAGAGGGAAAAGGGTGAAAAAGTGCAGCAGTGGAGTGCACTGGCTGCACAGGACATTGATGAAAGTGAACTATGCAACTCGTGGATGGATATATAGGAGAGAGGGAAGGGGAGAGAGAATGAGGGAACAGATGACACTATCAAAAGGAAATATACTTATTTCCTGATGCATGTAAAGGTAACCCCACTGTATATCACCTCTAAAAAACAATAAATTGGAAAAAATGATATATAGGAAAAAAATTCATAAAACATAAACGGAAAAAAATTCATAAAACATAAACTCAGACTTTTTAATCATTCAATTTGAATAGCAGAAAATTCATCTATTTAAGGTGGTTTAAATTTCTGGATGCATAATTTTTAATAGTTCTTTTATTGTGGATCAATAGCTAAGAGTTATGTGGTTTTGGAATTATACCCATTTGCAATTCTTGTCACTGTTTTGACTTTTAATTTCTAATAATTGGCTGTTTGGAGACAGGAAACCTTTAAGACTCCTCATAAAGCTGAACAAAATAATTCCTGGATTGAGACTTCCTTGTCTATAGGAAGCAAATAGGCTACTCTGGTCATAAATTTGTACAAGAATAAAGTCATTAGAACAAATATTTGAGCTCCTTGTTTGGAGTAGTCATTTTCTTAATTGCTTCCTTTGGCTCTGAAACAATATTTATACCTCTGGCTGCTTCAGGCCCTGCCCTGCAGTCACAGGGAGCATTATAACATCATCAAACCTGCCAATGATGTTTCAGGTAACATGATACTCAGCCATCTGCTCAGATCACTTATGAGCACTAACTGCCCCAGGCCTGGGGAACTGACCTCCTCATATCACAGAAAGGGGAAGGCAAATTATCACTCAAAAGGAAATATACGCAAGGTGGGGAGAAAAAATTCAGTTGGAAATTCAAAAGTTTAGTATTTCTAGTAAGGTAGTATTTTCCATCTACTTTTTAAGTAATGTGAAAAAATTAAAAAAAAATAATTTAAGGGCCAGTAAGTAACACTTTAAATCTTGGGATTATGGAAGTTCTTTTGGCTCACAGTTTCTTTGATTTTTTTTCATTATCTTTAAGTAGTTGTTGGGTTTCAATAGAGAATATTTGATCTGAATCTGTAAACTCATACCATTGGCTTTAATAATCTTCCTGTCTCATGCATAGAACTGATTTGCTGAAGTTTTGTTCTACATAGTATATCATTCAGTGTATGTATTATGACTCAGAATTTGTGTTTCTTTGTTAAATAGGTCATACTGCCATGGATATTGCAAAGGCATATGCTGACTATAGAATCATTGAGATGATTAAAGAAAAGCAAGATAGCCTGGCCAAAACAGGAGAGAGTACAAAACTGAAAATGAAGGTGTCTAAAATGAAGACTGATGGTCCTGACTCCAAGAAAGAAGAGGTAAGTAACAACAACACGACAGAAGACAATGGATGAAAATCAAGAAGAAAACTCAAATTAGAAAGGGTTAGAGAAATGTAGGTAGTAGGATTGGGTAAAGTGATTGCATATAGACAGGTAATAGTAAGCTAGGCAAGAGGAAAAGGAAAAATCAGATTCAAGTTTCTACTATAGGCACCATTATTATTGTAATAAGATCCCATTCTCTGCCTAATCAATAGCCATAGGTCAAGAACGGACTTCTTGAAGACTTGTATGATCTATCACTGATAACACTAATAAGAGTCATGCAAGGCAAACTATCTACACTCAAAGTCGTTAGAATAAACTGTTTATCTCAAATTCTAGCTTACAACTTTTCAATGTGTTTTTTTTCCTGACTTTGAGTAACATATAGAATAAATTTTTGAAAGCAGATACTAGATTTAACAACTTACTGTTTGGATCTTGTTTTCAGGAAACACTTTCATCAGTATATAATATACCAGCCATATCAGAAGAAAAGAAAGTACATAAGGATAATGTGGTTTATCTCAATTCATTGATTACCAGTGGTTATACCAAGAAAGTGGATATCACATTTGTTCCACGAAGGGTAAGTACTTGGAAGGATCTTAGTGGAGTAGATCTCATAAGGTAATTTAAAGTGTTTTCTATGTCAATCACCAAAAAAAAAAAAATACTGTTCAATGGCTATCGCTATTCACTACTATTTTTGTTGGGAGTCCTTCTGAGAGGGACTGCCACTTTCAAACCAGTAAGTCTATTAGTTCCTAATATCTTGTCCCTCTGTCACTATTTCTATATTAATAATTTTCTTTAAGTTTAAAATCTCCTTTTGATTGGTGGCTTTCCCTATAGTTATTATCCCCTGAATTTATAAGTATTTATTTCAGTATTCCTCAGTCCCAATATTCTTCTTCATACTCATTACCACTAACTGAACATGTAAGTTTCATACTAGTCAAGATTAGATATATTAAGCTAGCCTTCTCAAGATCTTCAATTAAATAGGGAGAATCATCTTTAGGAACAAAGAGTTGTCTTTCCAGTTTCTATCTACCCATACTGAATAAGAAGCTAATCTTGCCTGTATCATTGAATTCCAATTCCTTTGCTTCCCTAGTTTGATACTCTAAAAATGAATAGCCACCAAAGCGTAACTGGCTAAAGAAGTAACTAATGAACACTTCTGAGCCTCACATCCAAGATAGCCCTCATCAGAAGAGGTTCATGACCCACTTATGTCGTAGAACAGGGGGGAAACAGTGAAATGTATTTAGAAGGAAATCTGATTGATTTAAGTTAAAACTATTGAAAACCTTTTAAGGCTGGGGATGCTTGCCTAGTGTGTGCTTAAATAGAACAGTGTCTGGAAAATTGTCTGGATACCAATATATTCAGTGCAGTCTTATTCTAACTGCCTGTGTTTGAATGTTTGTTTAAGACTTGGAGTCCTGAAGCCACAACAGCAGAGCTGGTCAAGAAGCGGGAGATGCGGCGAGAGAGGTTTACATATGAGGTGGACTTTGAAGATTTCATGATGCCTTTTCAGAAGAGCATCACAGAGAAGGCAAAAGCACTGGAGAGTGCCCTTAAGATCTAAATTACTGCAGTTGCTTCCTAGAGTAAATGCTTTAAGGTTCAGGGTCCAAACCTTAGATATTTCCATCAAATGCATAGCAATCTCTCCGTTAAGAATTTGTTACCAAATACGTGTTAACAACTTAACAACTATAAAAATTCTGAGCGGTACAGTGAAAATGTGTTTCATTTTGCAATGAATGGCATTCCATTTTAGTCTAAACCCCCATTCATCATCAATAATATAATAGAATGTCTGGCTTATACCATAAGGATACATATAAGCATACATGTAAGCATATAAGTGTCAAATTTTTAAAGATATACTGTATTACATTTATTAAAAGTAATTCTATCTGGGCATGGTGTCATATACTTGTAATAGATAGATGAAAGATGAATAGATGGATCATGGATGACAGACAAATGGATGGATACATAGATGATAGAGAGAGAGATACTTTTTATGATTGAGATTGACAGACAGACAGATGAAGAGAGAGCTTCAGGGAGTTAGTTAATATGGCTGTGGGAACAAGCTGGGAAAGACCTAAATCCACAGAATAGGCCATTTAGACAAAAGATTTCTTTGGCATCCATATGGAGAGTTTCTACTCCTTTAAGAAAATTGCAGTTCTGTGCTTGCCCCAAATACTTCAACATATACTTTCTAAAAATCAAGAACATTCCATTCCATTACCATATTATAATTGTCAAGATTTCTGTTGTTGTTAAAGCAACCAATATAACTTGTCAATATCATAAACCTAACTGTCCTGGAAGCTTAATCACATCCTTAAGAAATTTTACAGTAGAGAAACCTATCAAAGCATCAAAAAGATTTTGTGGAGGAAATTTTGCTGACATAAGAAGGCAGTCTACCAATATCACATCAACAAGTACTTTATAAATAATCCACCCAGTAATATTGAACTTGCAAATAGGTAATGCATAATAGCACTTTTTCTAGGTTTTACAAGGTTTATGAGATTCTGGTTATAAATTATCTGACTTGTACTATTTAAGTTTGCCTTACATGTATTTTCTATTTTTAAACAATGAGCATGTGTTATTTTGTAATAAACAACCAATATTTTATTTTTTTTATTTGGTTTACTATTTTAGGCAAGATCTTGCTAGACAGCCCAAATTAGTCTAAAACTCTCCATAGTCCAGATGAGAGTTCTAGTCAGCCTCCCCAGTGCTGAAATGAAAGGCCTGTGCCCTGTGTCAGTTCAAATTTAACTGTTTAAAACAAACAAACAAAGAAACAAAACACCCAAATCAAGAATACCAAATTGACTTTTATGAGTATCTGCCTTTCTTATTCCTTTTGCAATATTGTCTTAGTAAAATTGTTCCCAATAGAAGACCCAAAGCCAAGAATTCAGAAGCAGGTAATTTGGGGATTGTCCCTAGGGGAGAGCAATGTGGGGTGAGGCAGGGTGACACAGGATGGGGAAGTGAAAGAAGTCAAGCAGCGATAAGATTTCAGATGAAGCCCCAGCTTCCAGGTAGCCATGTGAGAAGGAAGGGTTTGGCTCTAGAACACTAGAAAGAAGATGCCAATGGAAAGGGGGAGGAGAGAAAGTCTGTCCCTGTACTCAAGTCTGAAGTCATGGATGAGCATTACTGGCTGGCAAACATGGAGAAGCTGGGAGTAAGGGGCAGAGCACAGCAAAGGGTACTAAAAATCAACAGCTTGGTGAATTGTGTAAAAAGTAAAGGATCTTCATTTTCAAGGGCTGAACGCCTTTCTTTATTATAAGTAAGGTAATGAGTACATTTCTTGTCACATAGTGTTACCTCCTCCTCCCTCATTTTCTCCCACTGTCCCTCCCCTCTGATGCCCTCCTTCCCCCCTCCCCCCCTCCCGCCCAAGTTGTAAAGTTCATTTCCAACATAGGGTCCTGAGTATCACTGTTGCATTTGTTCTTTGTCTCACCATGTTGCTCATCCCCTTAACCTCCCCAAGTCAGATACACATATATACAAGACACAGGGTACCAAATCAAAACCAGTGGCAACAAGGGAATAAGTCAAAGGGGAAAAAGATGAAGGAAAAAAAGAAATAAAATCACAGAGTTTTAAAAAATACCTCTTGTTTCCATATCTTGGAGTTCATTTCAATTAGCATCATTTTATTATGGTCATAAGGGGAGATAGGTATTGAGCTATTGTGATCCTCTGCTAGGAGTATTCTAGACATGTACTAATTGTTACAAATGAAGGGAACCATGGAGCCTATGTTTCTTTGGGCCTGGCTTACTTAATATGACTTTCTGAAAAGCCTTTTTAAATTATCTTTAAGCAGCTACAGGGCTTTCAAGTCAACATGTCAGTTGGTGAGTACAATGTATCTTGGTTAAATGTCACCCTTTTCATCTTGAATTGTGAGATGGTAACCCCTCTGTACAACGCCTTCATCATAACAATAAAATTCTACTTTAAAGAAAGTAAGAGTTGGGATCTGGGCATGGGTGGCTCACACCTATAATCCTAGGTACTCAGAAGACTGCGAGCTGAGGAGCAAGGTGTGGAGCCAGCCTGGGTAGGAAAGTCTGTAAGACTCTCATCACCAATTAACCAGAAAAAAAAACCTAGAAGCAGAGATGTAGATCAAGTGGTAGAGTGCCAGCTTTGAATGAAAAAGCTAAGGGACATCTCCCAGGCCCTGAGGTCAAGCTCCATCCAGTACCAGTACATACACACACACACACACACATACACACATTTGGAACCTATCAGATATCGAAAGTATATGTGTTTTATAGATTAAAAAGATGAAGTTTATCAAAATTAACAGATTTTGAAAATATCGATTAAGTCACAAAATTAAAATATAAAAAATATGTCTTCCCTTAATACTGTGCTACTAGTCAACATAATCTACAGTTTTCTTGCAATGTGAAGCATTTAAGCATCTCTCCATAATTGCAACATTATAACTGAAATATGATCATTCATCAGATCAGTCCCTTGTATGATAAATCTTAACTCCATCTCATCCGGTATCATCAGAAATAAACAAAAATTGAAAAGAAAAACAAAAGGCGTTGGCTTCAATCTTACTACCCAGAGTCCATTAAAGGCTGACTTGAGAATGTTGAAAGGGATGCCATTGATCAAGATATATGGTGTTCATAAACTGCTTGGTTAAATGGTAACTCCTTTGTGCAACTACTTAAAGATGGTATTAATAAAAATAAGAGTAATAAAGGCTGACGTATACCTTAGAACGGCCTAGAAGGAAGGAGCCTGGGCTGATAGCTGGTAAGGAAAAGAACTCTCATGAGCATCACCTGCTTGAGTGGCAAGGTAGGAAGGTGGCAGATTGTGTTCAGGGCCATCTTCCAGGGAGGAAGAAGCTGTGAACCACTGAGCACAGCATCTGACTACAGAGTGTGTCAGCTGTCTTAGGCAAATCTGAGTAAGGCTACAAAAGCATCTCCTACAAATGTTTACAGATGAAAAATGCTGCAGGCAAAAGTACAAGGTGATTCCTTTACAGAGTGTGCTTTCTCTTTAAGAAGAATATGACTTTTTTCAATTTTTCTAACTAATTCTTGAGAATGAAGGTTGAGCAAGAATGGCACCGAGAACTGCTGGTTTAGAAGGACAGCGATTTCACAAATCCCACTGGCAGTTTCTGTTTCTTCCAGCTTGACTGGAATGTTAGTAATCATTGAACATCATAAGCATGGGGATGGGAAGAAACACTCAGTGCCATGCTCAGGATGCGATCGTGTCTAATTGGTACAAATGAATCAGCCCCGGAGAATGAGTTCACCCATTTTTATTGAATTTGCAATTTAGGAAATTTACTATGCAGGCATGAAGGGCTCCCAAGGGAAGTACTCATCTTGCCTCTTGTATTCAAGGGGAGTGGTATACAAAGAGCTAAAGGAGAAAATTCTATACAGAGGCATAAACTTTAAGTCAATTGTCATCTGAATTGTGTCTATTTTTTCAACTATCTGTAGAGAATGTATGTTTCTATGGATGTTTCTGTAACAATGGGCCCAAGGTGGATTTATAAATGAAAACAGAATAGATGAATAAATTGCTAGAAATCTTCAGTGCTTAGGTACTTGGTGCAAACTACATCGTGACTTTTATCTGGATGACAAAGATAAACTGTAGCTTCTGTCATGTGGAGATTTCTTGCCTTCTAAATAGTCCTCAGTATATGATATTTCCCTTTCATCTTCAGCATGGCAGACTTTGAATTAGAACTAATACGCAAAAAAATATTTCTTTTCCACAGGTTTAGTGCCATGCCAGCTTCTGCTATGTGGCCAGATCTCTGGGTTCTGTTCCTGCTCAGGATGGTACAGCTGCCTTTGTTACTAATCTTTGAGCTGTTCCTTTGTAATCTGGGGGCCTGGCTATCACTTCTATCATGTAGGTAACTACATCTCTGCATTAGCTCTCCTTTAGTGTGGTTTCTTGTTCCCTAGCTGGATCCTACTTTACCACATATCAAACACGGTAACAATTCAGGAGAAATTGGAATTCAAAACCAAGCATGGCCCCTACCCCTGTAATTGAAGAGACTTGAAATACATACTTCTTTGCAAAGTTTAATATGAAAAGTATTTACTACAGTTGGACAGAGAACACAGATAATCACAGAGGTAGCCTGAGATTCCCAGCTTCAGTTTCCTATAGTCTAGTCACTAGGGACAGGGAACACTTAATATTCACATTATACCCGATCAATGTAACTATGAGCACAAGATCATATTTGTTTATTTATTCATTACTATCCATGTAGCTAAACGCAGCTATAAAACCTATATAACAGTACACTTGTGATTATTATATTGAAACATCTAGGGAAAGGCTAACCTGAATTTTAGTCTTTAGAAGAACAAAGAAAGGAAAACAAAGAGAAAGGAAAGAAAGAAAAGGAAGAAGAAAATAAAGAAGAAAACAAGAAAAGGAAGTAAGGAGAATGGAAGGAAAGGAATAAAGATGAAAGAATGGAGGAAGGAAGGGAAGAAAGGTAAAAGGAAGGAA